CCGTACCAAACACTCGCTAGAAATGGCTTGTGGTAAATCACTGTAACATTTCCACAACTTAGTGCAACCCTGTCCCTGCCGGGGCGAGCGTATTAGCACAGTCCAGCATTATTCACTCAATGTATCCGCCTTTCAGGAGTCAGCTCCCCTTCCCGCACAGCCCAGCACGCTGTGGTGAATGTGGTATGTCCTTGCAATAAGTTACTGCCGGAAGAAAGGCAGACTGAACTCGATTTGAAACCAGATGTTTGAGCCGGGCCACTCACTGCGGCAACCTGCCATGCCTGAACAACTCAGCCAGCGGATATACTGGCGGATAACTTGCGATCGACCGGCCGGATCCCCTGGTCCCTTTCTCGGTACCATCTGTTAATTGATATGTGAGGCATGAGTTTCAATGGGCGATTCTGTCATGACTACTATCGTCGGTCTCATCTTGTGCCTCGACCAAAAAGGCTATGGCTTTTATTCTGGGGATAAATCGATCGATACAGTAATCTAGAAATGGAACATGACCAGTAATACCACGTCTTGTGTGATGTACTGTAACATGCCATAGTATAGAGACGAGCAGTACAATACAAGGTCCATTGATGCCCCATTCCAACCCTCAGCTGTCTATTCGTTATTCTACCCCTCATTCCTTTTGCCCGTGCCTGCTCTCGCGCGGTCTACAACTTGTCAGTAAGTATATATCTACCTACTTCGCTTCCTTTTCGACGTTGATCTCCAATGAATCTATCCAGTTCCTGAGAGGTGGCAGATCATCAGAACGGTAGCCACACCCAGAAAGAGTCAGTTTCTGCAGTGCTTGCAGTTTCTCCACAAATTCGTGAATCCAGTGATGATGGTTGCAAGGCTTCCACGGCACGGGATCGGCGAGGAACCTCGGCATTCCACACAACTTCAATTCCTTGATCTTCTCGGGCAGGTGCGGGAGGCAAGTCGCATCAACTTTTCCCGCACACCAGTTCACCACGCATACGCGCCGCGCGTGACCTTCTAAAATCTACTGCAATGACTCCAAGCCTTTCTTGTCGGTCAAACCCCATAGGCTTTTTCCGAATGGGGGATGCAAGGTTATAACGAGCTCCTCCGCGCTGACCTTGTAGGTTGTGTAGCTGGGGTCGAATGGATCGGGGAGAGTGATGATCTGGGCGCGGCCACTGCCCACCTTTGTGCCGAGCTCGGTAATGTCGTGAATCTCGGTCCAATCGATATTTGGCGCGGCATCATGATCTTCGTACAGCCATACGGCAGACTCGATGCCTTCTTCCTGGGTGGCGGACGTGTAAAAGGCACGGGACAGGTCACGAATCTTGCGACTCCTACCCTTCGCTGTGCCTCCGCGGACTCTGTAAAGAGCGGCGATCTTCATAGCATCGAGCTTTCGAGATACGTCTTCGAAATTCATGTCGATCTGAGGCACTAGATTGTGTCAGTCGAATAGCGGATAGCCCACTTTTGCGAAGGCCGAGCAACACTTACTTGGCGGCTGGGAAGCTTTGATACTCAGACAAGTTTCACAAGGACCGGTGGGGCGTGTGTTTGCCGCTCCAGGAGAAGTTGAAAGCAGTGATGGTTGAGAAGATGGAAGAGAGAAACGAAGGAGCGGCGAACACTGATTGTGGTCACTACTGTAACATCAATCTGAGGTAAATGGTGGGTGATGACCAAGGAGTCTTTAGCATCTGCTGTAGTACGATAAGATCTAGTTGTTTGCAGTAACGTTGGTAACAATGACATACTTGAATGCGACCTGATTAACAGCACGAATGGTAACAAATAGCTTCTTCTACTGTACAACTAGCGAGTAGTCTATCAACATCGTGTTTGTGTTGTTACCTGCTGTGTCAAAATTGGCAATCGGACATTGTTTGCGGTAGCTTGCCACGGTTTCGTCGATGCTTCGCACCTGGGGTGTTCGCTCGTGCGACCATAGTACTGTACAGAGTGGAATGGCTATACTGTGTGAACACACCCAACGAGCAACGAACAAAAGGAGGTTCTTTGTCGCGTCGCCAGATTATAGGAGAGCTGCGTATAGGCGGGGCAGCTGCAGGACTGGAAGCCTTATGACACATACGTCTAGCCGTAGCACGGATCTCAAGTCATGAGCACAGAACGTTACTCGGTCCGCAAGTATTTCCCAACTTGCTGCGTCTCTGAGCATTTGAAGGAATGTCATCCATCGAGCTCTGAGAAAACAGCCGGGTGGCTTCACTCATAAAACAAAGAGGCCGTGCGGTGCTTTGATTCGCGAGAATACCGGACTTTGTCCATCCGTGGTCCTTTAAGTCCTGATGGACCATGATAAAACGATAAAATACGTGGAGAAGTGGACGACGCGCTTCAGAATCCATGTAATGACCCTGGCATGATATTTACGGCGTGAAGAGAGTCGTTTGTCTCTGCCCACCACCATGATTCCTCATCAAGTAGTGAGACGTCATATGTGGTAAGCGTATTCAAGTCGGCGGGTATAGCGGACAACTCCCAGCCATCGTAGATATATTTTGAGATGTCTGGGGCCCTCGGCGGGAGGGTCTGCGCTGGTAACTCGTGAGATGGAAGATCTGTAGATCCAGTAGTTGAATAGGAGCATATTTTGTCGACGCTAGGCGTGTCGCAAGTTGGTGTAATTTGTCTTGGTGGATCTCGAGAGACAATACGATCCCTAATAAGCGCCATGATCTCGGGCACGTCGTTCTGATAATATGCATAGGCAATACTTTGCCAAGTGCTCTCCATGCTTTCAAGCCGTAGTGCATCTCGTTTCTGCTCCTCACGTCTTTTAGAACGATGTCTTTTCTGTGCTAAGCGATTTCGCTGTCGTAGAGACTCGGACCGTGGCGCCATATCTAGTGATTATCCTGTCCTGTCCGGAACAAATAGCGTACCTCGAATATTATATATACTCCAGTACCTCCTAGATAGTAGAAGCTGCGGCCCCAGCTAGAACACACTATTTTTAGCTCTTCAGGCAGTTTATAGAAACTCCCGGTGTTTGTCGATGCTTCTATTAATATCCCCCACGGCCAGGATGAAACGCTTGCAATTGTGACGCTTCGGCGCATGCTGTTCAACGTCTCATTGGCTGACATGTTGTCCGGAATTCGTCTATAGTCGGTCTGCTGAAGTTGCCTCTACGCATCTTCAGGCTTTCCTTTCATTACATTAAAACCCAAGTCTGATAAGTCCCACGTACTAGTTTACAGCACCGAAAGTATTATCTGAACGTTTGGCGCAAGTGTTCACCGGGCCCGCGATCACCGTCAGACTTATAGCTGGATTCGATGTGTATATACGAATCAGACGATCTCCATGTTGTGTCCATAGCGTGCTTGTATCATATCCTCGGCTAGATGACAGCCGGGCTAAATGGAGTAGTATGTTTACACGCGAAACCATTCTTAGCCCTTCACCACTTTAAATAGGTACCACTAGTGTGAGATTGGGTTGAACCCCGTCTGGAAGTGGACGGGTGCCCACAGGAAGTGCTTAATATTCGAACCAAGCTTTGATTGAGAGATACACTATCTTCAAGAGGTTACCGTAGGATGAGTTAGGGAATCTAAACGGAGCTGTAAGTAAATGGGATGATTTATACTGAGACCAAGTGGTGGTCAGCTGTTCGGTACGTATTTCACCATGTTGGACTCCCGTTGATTATGCATTATATGCATGGGCATTATTAGGCGATGCCTTCGTCTCGCTTTTTCGAAATCTGTATCGTGTGGATATCAAGCATCGCCAGAGTCGCATTGTGTCTTGTTCTCCGGGTGGACAGGTCGTACACTATACTTACGTCATGTATGATCTCTGCGGGTCACCTGCTCTGAAGATTCTTGATACCTTTAACATCATCTGCTCTGCTGACCGGAAAGCTGGTCCAAAAGCGGACCAGGCAAAGTCTCTTGCTGTCTTTGACATCTGCTTCGCTGACTTGAAAGCTGATCCAAGAGCGGACCGCAAGGCTAGCCAGAGATGTGACCAGAAGGTTGACCAGACCCACGTAGTATAGTAGAACGTGAAGCAAACTATCTCGAGCAGCATGCAAATAGCAAAACCAAGACATATTCCCACATATCCGGCTCCACCTACTGTGCTATCAGCATGCCAAAGAAATCCGAACGTGATCGGGCAGAGGAATAAGGCAAACAGAATGGAATGTACTATAACCAGGGCTCTCATTATGCCTTCAACTCCATGCTTCTTCTTTGAGTGTGAAGAATCGCTCGTGCTGTAGGCCGGAGCACACGCGCAGATTGCGCATATGACCATATGCATTCCAGCTAGGGCTAGGACAATGGAGGTTGCATATGTGCCACCGCGATAGAGGTCGGATGTAGCGATGAACAGAGGAGAAAGATTGAGAAGGACAAAAAATGTCGAGTAAAAGTAGAAGATCGAAAGCGCCATAGATACGGAGGCCAACAAAAGCCACAGACGTTTATCGACTTTGCCCCTACCCATAGGAGTTCCAGGTGAAGTATAGGAGGACCTGCGACTAGATGAGTGTTATATAGTCGTATGGATTACATTATACGATACCCTGATCTACTATACACGTAAGATCTCTCGATCGAGGACGTCATGAATGCCTCAATATACAAGTGTGGATATCTACTATATCCCGATTTAGTAGCTCTGAAGTGTTTCTATTACTTTAGAACTAAATGGTCGGGCAACTGGACAGCCTCAGGTCAGTCTCATTGCGGCGTTAGAAGTTCGTTCCTTTCCCTCCCAAACCCCTAATCGTGCTCAATTAGTGCCCGGTACGTATCGTGTGACACGATAACACGTGGGTATCATCTAACATATTGTTATGATATATAGAAGCGGGCGTGTAGATACTAGTGGATTGCAATCGGACTATCGATCCTGTTCTATATAGAACTGGAGTTGCTCGAAATGAAATGTATACCAGAAAGTTCTGAAGGCTTTTGGTCTTGATAGTATTTGAGTTCACTTACAACTAGAAGATGTTTCTTGACAATTTAATCACCTATCTGCCCGATTTCTCTTGTCCCGTTCAGGAGGGGTGACGCCCTTATCATAGGATCAAGAATAAATGCCACACAGAGATCAGTTAGTCTCAAATATGGCTGCAAGTACCTGGCCATAACCATGTCTTTCCACGAAAGCCATGCCGAAGCCCGAGCGAATGTTTTTGATATCCCCATTACAGTGCTCACATGCTTGGTCCTCGTCTTCTCATAATCTTGAAAGGTCTTCCCAAGTGAAGCAATGGTTGGGCCCACCTTTCGCGGAGAAAGAACTCCGGATGTCCCTCGGATACCGTTGATTAGCACCACAAGGTCGATCACCCCCTCATTGTATCCCATGCCAGTGCGGGGATCAAGCTTCCTTACCGCATCACCCACTAGCACAATACGACCGTGGTACCAGTCGGAAATGAAGCCCTCTTCGCAGTCGTAAAGCCCAATATTGCCGCCCGTCAATTTCAAATCCTGAACCGGGTAGTTTGGCATGACCATCAGGTGGCTCCAGCGCTTGAGCATTTCACGCTTATCATCGTCCGTGTAGCGGTGGTGTTTCGAAGACGGTTTCGCCAGCTTCTCGTAGATGGCGAAGCAGGAAACCTTTTTTCCGTGCAGATATTGCGTTGCAGCGCCGTAGTTGACGCCGTCACATTTGATATGGGAAGGGGCATCGGGCAACGGCTCAACTTGGCTGACAAGAACCCTGTAGGTCGAGCGATACGGGCTTTGATATCTCTCATCCAGATCATGGGGTGATTTATGTTGTCTCAGAGCCTCCATACATAAGCGCGTGCGGCTCCGAACGCCATCAGCACCAATGAGGATGGCTCCCTTTTCCGTATGGCCGTCCTGACAGGTCACCTGAACACCGAATTCATCCATATATACACTATCAACCTGTTTCCCAAGGAGAACCTTTGACTTGGCTTCCTCAGGGAGCATAGTGTATAGTGCTTCCACCAACTGTGTGCGGAGTAGAATACGAAGTCCCCAGCCGTGACTAAAGGGAACAGTAGCACATTAGCTCTTGCAATGATCTCCTTGTTCTAACAAGGAAGGCTCCAAAGGAAAGATGCGTGCTCTTCACGTACTGTTTCTCAAGGACAGATGGAAAGTCAGAGACATCAATCGTGTGCGAATCATCCCCAGAGATGACCATGCTGGTCCGTAACGACTCCATGAGAGGATCAAGAACCTCACTGAGACGCAGCTGTTGGAATATACGGGATGTCTGCGGCCAGATTGTCATGACGGAGCCAACTTTTGGGGCAGGATCACCCCGCTTCTCTAGGATTACAAAGTCGATGTGGGCGTGGTGCAAAATGTGTGCCGCAGTCAAGCCCACGAGGCCGGCCCCAGCAATAACAATGCGGAACGGCCGTGTTTGTTGGGAATCCATTGTGCCACGTCAGTGTTCGGAAGTTGTTCGGCTTAAGAGCAGGAAGCGTCCAGCAGGAATGAGGTATGACTACTCTGTGGCTGATACCAAGGACGGAGAGAAACCTGGAAGACGGCTATTCTGAGCGTGGGCTGCAACACCTAGTTGGCTAGTGGAACGAATCCTTAAAACTTCTTTGGCGTTGTTGCGCCACTTCGCTGGTTAGGTGGCAGCTAGTGTTTGCATGGACTACGACATGTGATTTGTTAATGCTGTTGTTGACGTTGTTGTTGATATTGCTTGTGATGTTGTTGTTTGTATGGTTATTGATACTGGGACAGTCGGGAAGGGATTGGAGATACTTCCAGACATCGAACTCCACCCCTTTGTGCATTTCATCGCGTTTCTCTAAAGAAAGACATATATAAGGACAGCAAGCCTTTGGAATATTACACGGTAGACAGACCTTAGACAACACCAATGGTTTGAACTCTTAACAGCACCGTTAACAGAAGTTATAACACTACGGGACGTCCGTACTCAGAAATATGCGCCTCTCGAGTCCTCTAATCCTCGTGCTACCTCTGCACCTCCTCGGCTCTGGGGCTTTGCCCGTAGGATCTGGACTGGAATTTCTATCGAGGGCCGATGGAGCAGAGCTCCCGGCGCTACGTGCGGTGTCGCCAGTCCTCGCAGACAAATACATTCCGGTCATCAAAAGAGATGGAGAAGATGCACTCCAGCTCGAGGGCCGACCTGTGGTCAAGCGAGGTGTGAGGATGGCCCAGCTCGAGGGCCGACCTGTGGTCAAGCGAGGTGAAGCGACACCGCAGCTTGAGGGCCGACCTGTGGTCAAGCGAGGTGAAGCGACACCGCAGCTTGAGGGCCGACCTGTGGTCAAGCGAGGTGAAGCGACACCGCAGCTTGAGGGCCGACCTGTGGTCAAGCGAGGTGAAGCGATGCCCCAGCTCGAGGGCCGACCTGTGGTCAAGAGAGCTGAAGCGACACCGCAGCTCGAGGGCCGTTCGATGAATAAGCGCAACCCAGAACCATCAATCCAGCATGTGCACCAGATCATACCGCCTGGAGAAATCGCCGGAGATTATTAAGCCAAGGTTGATCCTCACGATGCGCTGGATAACCTTCACCACCATTGTCTCGAATGTACGAGGAAGAGACTCTACCTAACCCTCTAACTTCCCGACAGCTTGCTACAACCGAGCTCGCTGCGCAAATAAATCTACTTCTGAATAACAGGACAGGATCTTCTGCCCCTTCTTATATTGAGCACTCCCTTTTCATCTTCTCATTCGTACATGTACGTTTCACGTTCGCGAGAAGAACTTATCGGAATCTCTATCCACATTCGTTCTACCTACAGTTACTATTAGTTATACACTTTATAGCCCACATTAGATGCGACAATGGTATCACGACAACTGACTGACTGCCTGGGGCGGTCCGAACTCGGATGTGCCCAATCACGCAAAGAATTTGCAGCTGCATGAACACCTTTCAAGCAGATTGCCGCTTCATCAGTGAAAAACCGCGCATCAATCAAGAATATACAGTTATGAAGGGCTGATTGAGCGTACGTGAACGAGCCATAGCGCTGAACAATTGTCAAGCAGTTCTATGATGTGACTGAGTATCGTCTGATCTTTGCAAAGACTGGTCGTGGGGCACCATAGTAAGATAGATTTGTCCTAATTCACGGCACACTGTGTGTCCTAAATTACCATTGCGCGGTTCTACATCACTTGCGTTCCATGTGATATTCGAGGCTTAGCCTGGCTGCCGGAAAGGTTGTCCAGGAGGTGGAGATGCGATGACACAGGCGTTCCAAGCATGCATCCCCGTCCACTGCGCTGTCCCCCTGCCACAGGTTGACGAGGCCAGGGCGTAATGGTGTATACCATAGGAGGCGCCCGAGCGGGGCTTCTATCCACTGTGTAAGGTAGCACTCCTCAACTACAAACTCTACTAAGACAACGCAGCAACCATGGCTGGGAGGTTTGTGACGGAGGCGCATGCGGGTTCCAATGCGGCAAGCACTTGGAGCGGACCAATTACAACCACGAACCCCGCCCATTCCACTTCCTCGCCAAACGTAAGACGCGTCTGTACCATAAGAGCAAACTACGCCCACACAAGCACTCGGGAGACCAATAAGTACCCGATCCACGACCAGGCGCAGAAGACCAGTGCCCGAACAAACAATGATAGCAGCACGATGTTAAATTAGTGACATACGGTAATCTATAAGGGCGTAGGAGCACTCATCGAGTATTTCAATCAAGACAGCTTAGCTTCGCGACGTTGTAAACAAACTGCGCCTTCATCAGGGGACAAGTGTCTGGTCAGGCAGGAGATACAACCGGACGGCGCTCTCCTTAAGCAAGAAGATTGGGCTATGGTTCCACAGGGCTGTCTTGAGGTTCGTGACTTACGCTGGCCTTATCAGAATGACCAATGCCAGACATGTCCCGAATCCCAGATGCAGGCATCAAACCAGCACGATGCGCAAGCACTAACTAAGATTCATCTGAAGTTATGGTCGCATTATGGCCTTGAGGAGCCGGCCCTGATGCTTCCAAAGTCTCAGAGTTGGCGGCAAGTAGGAAGCAAGTTGCTGTTTCGATGCCTACCACTGAGCTGCGCAAGTCACCCAGCGATATCTCCTTACAAAGCAATAGCTAGTCCAGCAATGCGCATGGAGACCTATCCGCCAGAGTCTGCCAAAGGCTTCCAACGCGGGAAGGCTTCTAACTAGAAAAGTACTGGAGCAAGTCAATTAGCAATTCAAGTGGGTACAATTCCAAAACACTGTCCAGGGGATTGAGCAGCATGTTTGACAGCAAAGCAGTCGCCTCAGCATGGATAGTGTTGCTGCTTCCCTGAGCCCCGCGAATACGATGCTGCTTCAAACGCTTCCGTGCTCTTTTAACGCTCCGAGTGTACAGTTCGGATGCGCTAGCTCAGATCCAACCTGAAGCAATCCCACTGCCTTAATTGTGGCCTTGGTCGATATTGTGACGTGGGTACAGCAGGAGAAACTCGAGTGAGCACTGAGCTTAGCGGCGCTCTCCCTTGCTACGGCCACCCTCCCGTGTATGCCACGCGGATGTTCAACAATCTCCAGCTTCCGATTCAACCTCCCCATTATAGACTGAGCTACTGCAGGGGATGCGACTCCATTTTTGGCATGGAGCCGCATCGAACTCTAGGGTTCATCACAAAGAAGGATTATTTGATCACTAAAGAGCTGACGGTAACAACTACCAAGGATTAGAGCGAGTGCTTGACACCAGGAAAGGAACCAGCGAGCGTCTCGTTGGTTGCAACGAATTTTACTTGAATAGACACATTCCCGGCCATATTATCATGCGAGAGCGATAAACTGGAGAAAACATCGAACTATGAAACACTGATCATACCGAAAAAGCTCTATTTACCCCTAATCCGTCGAGCTAGCTGAATATCCTTCTACTGGTCTGTTAGCTTGACACTTTCACGAGATAGCGGAAGCACTAACCGACTGAATAGTTACTCTTTTTGCGTGAATGGCGCATAGATTCGTGTCTTCAAATAGTGAAATCAGATAACTCTCGACAGCCTCTTGTAGAGCGCCAATCGCCGAAGACTGAAACCGCAGATCGCTCTTGAAGTCTTGAGCAATTTCACGCACCTGTGAAATCTGTTAGACTGGAATCTAGGACCTTTCGCTACACTTACTATTCTTTGGAAAGGGGCCTTCCGTATTAAGAGTTCTGTGCTTTTCTGGTACCGTCGGATCTCACGTAGAGCCACAGTCCCCGGCTTGTATCTATAGTTTCGGTCGACTTTTGTTTGGGTGGTTATTCGTGCAGCCTTTCCAGCGAGCGACTTCCGAGGTGCTTTACCGCCAGTGGACTTCCTCGCATTCTGTTTCGTCCGAGCCATGTAAAATAATGAGTATGCTCAAAGACCCGACAACGAACGGTGGGCAACGTCAACCAGTCTCAGATACTTAAGTCCTAAAGCTACGGAAATCTCTCTCGTAAGTCATTGGCGAACCCTAACGTAATGGCGTGCCGCAAGCTATATAGATTTGAAACAGCTCAAAACAGGAAGGTGGGTACATTACAGTAGTATTGGAAGGTCCAGATTGAAGTAGGAATTTGTCAATGTAATCACCTCGATAGACTGCTCTATGCTATACATATCCTTTACATACTATGGGTGCTTTTGAGTCATTACACATCCTCGGCCAACCTATAAGTATGACTGGGGGTTACGCACGCCATCAGGGTATTGCATACAATGGTCATCCAATCTGGATAATTACGGAGTAGTTCGTGTTCCATAATCTTCGTGTGCCAAGCTCTGGGGTTTCGTCTATCATGGATTACTACACATTTGAGGGCGCAATGGAGTTAATCCAGAGCCCCCCTGCTGGTGCGAAGTGAGGTGCTTTGTGATCATCGGAAGCAGAATAACCTAACGACCACAGGGGGCTAACCGCCTGATAGCCTACGTGGTATGGTTAGCGAGACGCACTTGGGCGAAGCGTTGTTATCGCGGGAGCCAGCCATGACAGCACGAGAGCGGTGCCTGTACGATATGGATCGCAGGAGCCTGACCCACCCGTTTTCCTCTTCTCCATTGTTATAGCCAGCGCAGAGAATGTACTTGAATTCCAACCCAGAACGTCCAGCGAGCCCTGCCTGTTATAATGATTTTAAAATGGACAGTCGTCCTTCACCTTTGTATAAGATACTCATCCACCACGACTGGGCTGCCCCATTACAGTCCGACCAGCTTGCTGACCCGCCAGCAATGGCAGAGACTAGCCCACCGTTCCATAGAACTAAAAGCAAAATTAGGGCTACTGCAGATGCGTCAGAAACGATACGTAAGACACTTTGTCCGCGCAAGTCTGGGAAGGATCACATTAAAAGGCAGGATATCATAAAACAAGCTACAACTTCGGAAGATGTTTTCGTCGTACTGGACAATGCCCAGCGGCGTAGAGAAGTTGATGTTCTACGAAGCTGACTACGTCAAAAACTAACAATATGAGCAAGCCTGCGGTAGCCTATGCACTTGCTGTGAACGCCATTCGGCAGGTTGGGACGAGGCCATGGATTGTGAGAAGCGCGCAGAGCATATACGGGCCGCCGCTCCCCATTTCGATCAGGTCGAGCCCGCTGATGTACATGCCTAGTGAGGAAGGAAGTGCTGAAGATGAATTAGAATCCTCAATCGAACATCACGTGTCTGGTTATTAGATTCGTTCTTGGAAGACCATGGCGTAAGCCAATGTCGCAGCCTACTACAACGTCGCACTGGTGCGGGGGCCAGCGAATGTTTTTTCGTGAGGATGAGAGCAGTGCTAACTGCTGAACGCAGATCAGGAATGGTTTTCACAATGTCCTCACCGAAAGTTCAAAATATGACGACTAACATGACAAATGTTGGAGGTCGTTGTAGTCATCGATACTGTCATACTCTCTGGTCCTATTGAATGCCAGATTCAAGTTATCTTTGACGCTTGTTACTCTGTAGGTTTCCTCGGCTTTTTCTTTCAAATCCTAGATGTCTCATCCGTTATGTCCCGGAAGGAAGAGGGCCACTAAAAGTGAAGCAGCTACCGACACGGTCGGCGGTAAGGCCTCCGAAATGCGTCCTCACCAGACGAGCATCGATGTGGACGACTACTTTGTAAGTATACGAGTGCTCACGCTGTCATCATGATGGCGCTGATCGACGTCGATTCAAATTCAGGCTCGGCCCTATGACATTCAGAAACACTCTAAATGGCCTCTTTTCTTGCAGCTTCGAGGTAGTATCCTTCCCAAGCTTATTGTGCCAGTTACTTTTATCGCTCTATGGGCCACCGGCATCACGTGGGTTCATAAGGAGGGCCCCTCTATCAGTCTTGGTACTACTAACGTCCTCCTTACTGTGATTGGTTTCGTCGTCGGTCTTGGACTTTCTTTCCGTAGCTCGACCGCCTACGAGCGGTATGCTGAAGGGCGCCGGTACTGGAGTCAGCTGACTGTGACGTGCCACAAACTCGCGCGGACTATCTGGATTCATGGCAAGGAACGCTCTGATTCTGTCAGGG